AGGGTTTTCCAGAGGAGACCTTGGAGTAATCCTGTTTTTTCTGAGATTGGCTCAGTTGGTCAGAGCCCAGTGCTGGTATTGGCAATGTTGTGGCTTCCTCCCTGTGTGGGCCATGCACTGGAGAGCTGGACTTGATGGTCCCAGTGGGTCCCTGCCAAGTCAGAATGTTCTGTGATTTTGTGACAAACTTCTTAAGTATCATTTTCAAAGACTATTTTTAACAGGCATCAGTGGTTGGCGAGCCCTTGTTGCTGCAGCACTGGGTGGAATGTATGTGATTAAACTGTGGGGTCCTCTAGCAGACCCCCAGGCCCAGCTGAGGTAGGACACAAAGAGGTGGGAAATGCACCTTGGGCAGAGGACAGGGACACCGTGGGCAGCTGTGCAGGCAGATGTGGAGAACAGGCTCACTCCATCACCCATGGAGCTCTGAGCCCCCTGCTCATTCCCACAGGAGTGACAGGGAGAGGCACCAAACCTCACCGGAGGAGCAGCAGGACGTGAGCAGTGCCAGGAGCACTGAGCCATCCCCACAGAGCCCTCCTGAGCTGTGCTCCCACCATGAGGGACATTCTGCTCCCACCACCCACATATTCCTTTCTCTCCATCCTGAACTAAAGGATGGTCCCTCCCAGAGCAGGAGAAGCGACACCCCGTACCCACAAAGAGATGGGGAAATGTCAAGCTTTAAACATTTATTACTCAGATGAGGCATTTTATAGCATACAGTGGATCTGGATGTTCTATAAACAAAGACTGAATTGCCACAAAGAGTTATGAGCTCCCTTGTTTTAACAGTCTCTGAAATGCTGAAAACGATGAGTTTGTGATTTCTCTAAGTATGAATATCTAGTCTTTACTCTCCCCAAAACCTTTTTCCTTTTTTTTTTTGATTTTTAAAAATTTTTTAAAGCGCTTAGTTTAACAAATATGATTAAATTAAAAATGTTGCTTTTTCAAATGCAAATAAATACATAAAAAAAATTGCTAGCATTAACTCCTTGTTCTGCAGGACACCGCAGCTCCCTTGGCTATTGACAGTGGACTTAGCAACCCTTAGTATAATTTCTTCTGAAAAAATACTGAAAATATCACTAGGACTGCTTAATAGCTATCACCAAGAAGAGCAAAATTAGTGTAAAGCCATAAAATACCCAGCAGGGAAATTTAAAAAAAAAAAAATCATATTTAAGATTTTGAGAGATTTCCAAGTGAGGGGTGTTATAAAAATAAGCATGAAAATAAATCATAAGTTATTCTGACAAGTTTTCTTTCAAAGCCATCAATCATGCCAAGAATAGATACTAATTAATCTCCTTCAGGGGAAGAGGGGAACCAAGCAAATCACTTACTTTTCCTTTTTTTTTTTTTCTCCCCATTTTTGTTTCACCTCCATATACGCGAGACTTCTCCGAACAGCAGCGGAATCCCTCATGGGGAAACCAAGCAAGTCACTTTCTGCGTAGCAAAACTCGTCAGTTTGGAAAGATTTCTACCAGGAATTCTGAGGTGAATAATAACCTGGGGAGCCTGGCAGGGTGTCAGCAAACCTGCTCTGCATCCCAGGGAGATGGGCACAGAGGTGATGCTGCAGCCTCCACACCACCCTGAGGTTTGGCCCCACACACATTTGGCCCGAGGGGTTTGCTTTCCCCCTTTGCTGATGTAGTTGTATGGGGACAACGCAGTAAAACCCCCACACAAACACTTTTATTGAGCAGCAAAGATGGAATCTGGCTGATTTAGGGAGATGTAACTGGTGGCTTTGCACCCAAAAATACATTTTGGAGAATTACGCTCTTTGGCGATCGTTTGCAAAGTAAGCCAAAAGATTAAAAAAAAAAAAAAAGAAAAAAATAAAAGAGAGAGAAGAAAACACTCCAGGATCCCCAGGTGCTTTCACCCCCAAAAATTCCCCAGTGCTGTTCCCCATCCTGCCCATCAAATGTCCTCGTGGTACCTCTTTTCCCAACACGATACCCTGGTGAATGATGTCATGTGTGTGCCAGCTTCCTGATGATGGACTTCAGAAAGATACCAATGGCAGCATGTAGTTTTTGGGGAGACACCCCCATTTTTGGTCAACATTCTGATTCTTGTACATCAACAGAGTGACTGATGTATCAAAGCAGTTAATGGCTGGACGAAGGTATGCTAATAGCAGAGATAAATGGCAAGACATTAAAAAACGACGGATTTCACATGAAAGTTCTTCATTTCCAGTGTTGGAAGGGAAAGTCATGGGCCAAGCCTGGTCAGTGGGGGATTCAGGATTGCCCCACAATGAGAAAATTGAATAAGCTCTCACAGCAGGTAGGGGTAGGGAAATGCTTTAGGAGAAATACTGCCCTGTGGCTTACACTTTGACTCTGAATGCCTCCTGATGCACTGATGGGTGAAAAATTCAAGTTTTTAGAAAAAAAATCCCCAATTATCTGTGTTTTTATTTTCTTTTTTCTTCTTTCACTACATCCCAAGAAAAAATTCTGTGGGAAGTGAGAAGCTGCAGGGGCCAGAGTGGCAGTCTGGATCACTGCTGGCAGGATCCCTGGCACCCCAACCTACCAGGTTGCTGTCCCTGCTATAGGACTTTGCTGTTCTTAAAAAAAAAAAAAGAAAAAAAAAAAAGACCAAACAACAAGACAAAACTGTTTTTCAGGCCTTCTCCCAGAAGACTGACACTCTGCCTGAGTGCACTGTGATGGGTGTTATATCCCCTTCTCCTCCACTCCTTGAGAATTCAGGGAGCAGAAAAAACAAAGAGCGATGGGCACAGCCCTGAGCCTTGTAATACTGATGGGCTTTGCCGTCCTAATGAAGTTCATCTGCTCATTAACACTATCAAACCACGTTGCTACTAATGAAGCTGACCCAACGCAAGGCGCCCTCACTGTGCGAAGCTCCTGGGCTCGAATACGTGAAGCAAAAGTTAGTTCTTCCAGGCAATTCTAGTGAACTCAGCCATCATTTTGCTGTTTTCTAGGCAGACAAGAAAACTGAAGCTCCTCTTTCCAGCTCCTCTTGCTCCAAGTGCAAAATGAAAACTGGATCAGCAGACAACCAGACGAAAATTCAGGTAATGTTGAGTTGCAGCATCACGATGCTCACCCCCCTGCAATGCATTTTCTGCTGGAAATTTCTGCCCTTTAAATTTTGCAGCAAAAGCTTCCTCCCCATCGCAGACAGACCAACACATTCATAAGGCACCCAAGAACATACTGCACATCCAAGGAGGTCGGGGTGAAATCTTTCTTCTCTACAAGCCACCAGAAATGCAACGTTTTGCTTGGAAAAATGGGTTTGAGCTGCTGAGCTCAGGCCCAGCCTGCCTGGTCCGGGTCCGTGTGTGCCACCTCTGTGGCATAAATTCTCTTATCATAAAAGGAATAAATTGAACAGTGAGAAGAAGCCAGGATGAGCTGATGGCATCATGCCTTGGCTCTTGCATGCAGGATGGGCCTGCACCCTCGCTAGGCTTCACTAGAAAAACCACCTGGAGGGATTTCCTAAGTCAAAGTGTTTCTAGATCAGCAAATAGGAGCCCACCATGTCTTCTTCATGATTCAGGTGTTGCCCCAGACCAGCCTCTCACCCTCTGGGTGGCACCTCCCCACCGTCCCCCACAGCTGTCCTCTCCCTTGGGATGCTCCAGCAAGGAGCCATGAGGGGATCCTGGAGCCCCCTGGGGATCCCCGAGCACACCCTGCCTCCCTGAAGCTGTCCCCCATCCTCGATGGCGTGGGACAGAGCTGCTCCTGCACACTGCACACACCTAGGAACGCTGGATAGCATATTCAGCTAGTTAGAAGCCAGGCTCAAACTTCTATTTTTGGCTTTTTCTATTTTTCCCTCTTCTTTTTTCCTTTTTTTTTTTTTTCGCTATACGCTGCTTGTCTTTTCTTTACCAGCCTCCAAAAAACATCAAACCTTCATTTCTCCCTTGCCCTGTACATTATTAGGCCCAACTATAACAGGCCTGGATTTAAATGTATAATTACAACCATGACAGTAATAACAATAAAGCACTCCTTCAATGAAAAAAAAAAAAATTATTACAAAAAAAAGTTAAATGATTATAGTGGCTGAAGAATAACGGCGACTTGAACAGCAAGAGCCACAGAATCCCCTGTTTTTAGAGCGCCCAGCTCAAAGGAAACGTTTCTCAATCCACCGAGGAGGTTACTGGTAAGATGACAGTGGCTATGTAACTTCTGCAGTGGCTTTAGGACTCCTTTAAAACACTCCTCCTGCTTCAGCATCTTCACATAAACCGTTTCCCAGCTCGAGGGAAGGCGCTGCTCTCCCCGTCCCCGAGCTGCTCACAACTGTCCGTCCAACAATACATTAAGATAAGAAGAAATTACCAACGCTCGAGGAAAAGAAAACCCAGTGCAAGTAAGAAAGTCGTCCCGCTCTCCAATCTGCCTCTGAAGGGGTGGCGGGTAGGTGGGGGGAACACACAGAAAGTCGAAAACAAGAGAAGGAGGGGGGGGACCTAACGCAAGCCCCGCTTGACAAAAGCCATCAATTATGAGCGTCTGGTGTAGTGTGTGCCTGGCTTTGTCCTCCCGAGACATCTGCTGCGTGCTGTCTCCTGCCAGTTGGCCAGGGAAAGGCAGGAGGACGGCGTGAAAACAATACTAGCCCCCACTTAGATTATTTTTTTTTTTCCCTCCTTTTCCAAATTCTCTGTCTTCTTTCGAAAGCCAAACAATAACCCGGCGGGATGCGCTGCTGCTGCTTGAGCAATGAGTTCAGAAAAAGAAACCCCTAAAACAAAACCACGGCAGGGAGGAGGGGTGGCACTTGGCGAGGCGGCTGAAAAAGAAACATGCTGCTCCCTCCCCACCCCACGAACGTATTCTCGAGCATGCTGGGGTTTGGTCTGCTGGGGGATTTAAATCAGAAAAGCTCTTGCCGGGTCCCGTCAAGGCGCATGTCTTCTTCTTCTTCTTCTTCTTCTTCTTCTCGTCCCTTACCACCCCACCTTGCCCTGCCCCTCAAGCTGTCAGTTTTTGGATGGTCTTGTTGTAGTACTGCGTGATGGTGGGCGTCAGGGGGTTCCAGTTGTTGGCGTGCAGCTCGATGACCTCCAGCAGCAGGGACCTGGTCAGCATGGACTCGGAGGGACACAGCATCTTGTCGCGTGCTATCGCCAGCAGCTCCGTCATCATCTCGGGCAGCTGCTCCTCCAGCAGCCGGCCGGTGCTCTGCAGCTGTCGGGAGAAGAAGGGGTCAACCATGGATTACTGATCCTTGTGGGTCCCTTCTAGCTTGAGACAGGCTAGGATTCTACCACTCTATGATGGTAAAACACCCCCTCTGGCTTCTTAGAGACACCTCTCCCATCCCGTCGATTCTGCCCTGCCTGGTGCAGGCAAGGTTAAAGGCGTCATGGCTTTTGAAAACCAAAACCACCCAGCAGCAGGCTCCAAGAGCTGAACATGAAGGGTGAGGTTTTCAAAAGCATCCACACCAGGCTGCTGGAGGAGTGAATGGTTCAGCTCCCACTGACTTCAAAGGCAGCAGCGACGGATTGCTTTTGAAAAAAAGAAAAAAAATCCCACCTAAAAATCATGCTATTGTCAAAACAAAGTGCAGGCTGTGATGTGGTATTCCTGCCTTCTACCTGGCCCTTCATTTACTCGCTGATTCAGAGCTCCCAGTGACTCCCAGTCATTATCTGGAATAAGCAGAACGCGCCTGTGTGCATAACAAATCCTGCCCTGCCGAGATCTGCATTTATACCTGTCGTGCTGCTTTGCTGGAGACAGCCAAAGGCTTCTTCTAAAACAATTACTCCTTGGAGAGCCTCCATTGGGTAGCACAAGCCCTAGGTGGTTCCACAGAGGAGGTCTAAGTTTGGGGTGGACAGTGATGAGTCTGTGGGAGGCTCCCTAAAGCAGAGCTCCCCAAAGTCCTCACCTTAAAAATCAAATCCGCCTCCTCATCTGCTTTGCTGAATTTTAACTATTCAGGCTGCAACTTCAACTGCTCTCTGCAAGAAAAGAATCTGTCCCCATGGGCCCATCACTTCCCAAAAAAAAGTAACCAACAGGAACTCTGCTAGAATTCACAGAATCATAGAATCAGTTAAGTTGGAAGAGGCCCCCAAGGTCATTGAGTCCAACTTGTGACTGATCACCAACTTATCAGCCAGACCAGAGCACTGAGTGCCATGTCCAGCCACTTCCTTCTCTGCAAAACTGCTGCTGAGCACAGTGAGTCATGGGGCAGCTTTTGCTCCAATACAGCTGTTTCTGTGTTAAAAACTGAATGGAGGGTGAGATCTGAAGGGACCAGGATGATACAATATTGTGACGGGACTCCAGGTAAACTTCTGCATCCATTTACATGCATCAGGAGCCCAGTGACAGAGTCTCAAGGGCTCTCATCTCACACTGGTTTTCTACCTGAACTGTTCTTGTGAGACCCAACCTGAATCCAACTCTGGATTCCTCCGAACAGGAAGGGCATTGACCTGCTGGAGTGAGGCCAAAGGAGGCCATGGAGCTGCTGCCAGGGCTGGAGCCCCTCTGCTCCGGAGCCAGCCTGGCACAGCTGGGGCTGTTGAGCTGCACAAGAGAAGGCTCCAGGGACACCTCAGAGCCCCTGCCAGGGCCTCCAGGGGCTCCAGCAGAGCTGCACAGGGACTGGGGACAAGGCCTGCAGGGACAGCAGCCAGGCAATGGCTCCCAGTGCCAGAGGGCAGGCACAGATTTTGGGCTCTTGGCAATTAGGAATTGCTGGCTGGGAGGGTGGGCAGGCCCTGGCCCATGGTGCCCAGAGCAGCTGTGGCTGCCCCTGGATCCCTGGCAGTGTCCCAGGCCAGGCTGGATGGGGCTTGGAGCAGCCTGGCATAGTGGAAAAGTGTTCATGGGCATTGCAGATGGGTTGGACTAAATGACCTCCAAAGGTCCCTTCCAATCCAAACCATTTGATCATTCCAAAATGCACAGAGGCCACACAGCTGTTGGGTCTGGAAACATCCAACAGCTGCTTGACACATGCATGGGCAAGGATGGAAGGGGTAAAGCAATGAGATCAGGGCAGATGTAGAGGTGCTTCCCTACCTCCATGGAGCAGCAAAGCACGGCATCCTCCTTCACATCCTGAGATTGCAACAACTGCAAAAGACAGAAGAGACAAACAGTGAGAAATGTATGATCTTCTTCTTCCTCCTCCTCCTCCTCCCTTACGACTTTCCTTCTATGTCTTTGTCTAGCTTGGCTTTTGACACTTCCAGGAGAAAGGACACAAAATCAGAAGGAGAGAAGAAAACAGATTGATTTAAAAGATTTAAAGTAAACAGTGAAAAAACACGGGGTAAAACTTAGATGAACAACTTTCATAATAGATTTTGTTTAGGTTACATTGCTTTTTTTATCCCATGGCAGGCAGTGAGAAAACACTCATTTCACACAGGGAATAAATGCAGCCATCAGTCAACAACACTGGAGTAGCACAAACCTAGGAGTGGCTGTTTGGAAAGGTAGGGCTCTGCCACCCACCCCTGAACCTCTCCATCCCCGTGGGGACACTTCTGACAGCCACAAAAGTGCCTGAGCTACATCCAATTCACTGTAATTAATATGGCTCCTTCTAGGCTGGTTACACAGTGCTGCAAGGGCAGGGGTGCCAATGAAACTACGGAGTTACAGGTGCCCAAATCCAACCCTGCTCTGCTCTCCATGAACTCTGAGTTACAAACACAAGCTTGCAGGCAGGAGCAGCTTTCAGGAAAGACCCAAAATGTTGTTGGGCATGGCACAGCATGGTGCAGGAAGATGCTCATCTCTCTTGGTTCAGACTCAGGGTGTGCAGCAAGCATCAACAGCTCCACCTGACAATGGCAAAGTGTAGGAACTCAGCATGTCTCACCCCACAAACACTGAAACCACGAGCAAGGACCCTCAAAACAGGACCAAAAATATGGACTTTCCTTTGTTCTCGTCTTTATGACAGTTAAAGGCACCAGGAACACTCAAAGCTATTGCCACTTTCATCCCATCACTTTGGAATGAACAAGCCCTGATGGCCCTGAGCTAATCCCTGTGTGCAGTAACCCCTGAGCAAAAGGAGAAAAGATGGGAAAACTGGCTTCACTATCATCTGACATTCATTAGAGAGAAGCAGACTTTTTAAAAGCAGTTGAACTGATTAAAACTGCCCATATAAAAATCACTCAGTGTAACTAAATGTTACACTGAAGTCATATCCATTAGTTAAAATCAGAATTGTGACTCTGAGCCTTAAGATCTCTCTGTCCCATTCTTATTTTTCCACGCTTCCTTCCCTCTACAAATAAATGTCTGTTTACCAGCTCCACATTGGCTGGAAAACCAATGATAGGGGAAAGAAGATGTAACACAAGAAACAACCACTATCTCAGAGTTTTGTCTTCGGTTTTCAGCAGAAAGAAGATTGTTTGCTTTGAGGATGGTGTTCACAGCATCTCTGTCCCTCTCCTTAGCCAAAGCTTCAGCCAGGGTTTCTCAAATCATCCAACAGGTTTTTTTTTCTACCCCACCCCCCCCCACCCCCCAGTTTATCTTTCTGCTAAGTTGTTTGGAAAATGTTAGTTAAGCCCAAGACATGTGCTCTGAGATAAGTTCTCACAAACAGTTCAGATTCCTCACAAGAAAACATGAGATTATTTTAAACCCAACACCAACAATGAAAAAAAATATCAGTTAGGGAAAAATATAAACAGGCGGTAGTCCAGATATTCCCTCCTGGGGTATTTAGCTCATGAGCATGGCATGAAGCAGGGCTGCAAATAAAGTAACAGACAATACCTTTTAACAACACCTTTCTTATTTTTGGTATTCTTCAGTAAAGAACATAACACAAAAACTGAAGCTTGAAAGTAGAGTTAGGGTTGACTCCAACCTTTCCTCTGCCATGGTCTCCTCAGTGATCCTGCTCCCTGCTCAGGATATGTGATCATAGGAAGGCTGCAGCTTCACTAGCCCCAGCTCCCACACACAGGGCAGGGACATGCTTCCCTACCTCAAAAGGTGTTTGTGAGGATGAACATGTCCCTGTCAAGTGCTCAGGTACTTGGCTAATGAGGAACAGTCTCACCTTCCTATGATGAAACAGAGAACACATCCTACCCCCAGCCCTGGGCAGGAACCCTCCAACTTCACACTGCCCTCATGGACACCTGATCTTCATCTGATGTGACTTGGTTGAACGAGGAGAATGGGTGTGCTCCAGTGTGTCCATCAGGGTGCCATGTGCTCCACCTTCTCCATGGAGGCACCATGTGCTCCACTTTGTCCATCCAGGTACCATGCACTGCACCTCACCCACCCAGGATCCACCAGCTCCGTTGCTCCAGAGGCACCATGTGCTCCACTTTGCCCATCCAGGTACCATGCACTGCACCTCATCCACCTAGGATCCACCAGCTCCATTGCTCCAGAGGCACCATGTGCTCCACTGTCCCTCCAAGGCACCATGTGCCTCACCTTGCCCACCTAAGTACCACATGCTCCACTGCTCCAGCAGGCTGCCAAGGGACACCAGTCTGAGGCACTACAGGTGAGCCTCTGCCTGAGACAGGTAGGCTGGGGAGGCCCACAGCCTGCCCACCAAGCCCAGCCCAGGCACATCCCTGTGCACGAGGGACAGCCCAGCAGTGAGATCTGCTGCTGCTGCTCTGGAGAACCAGAGTCCAAATCCATGGCCACAGACGCCTGCAAGCCACTTGCATCAGTGCAATGGACTGAAGCCTGGAGGATCAGAACGATCCACTGTTTCTCTGTGTGGTGCTGACCATGTTTGTAGCATGCTGGGGTGTAGGCACTATCTGCCTCTGAGCCCTGCATGACAGAGCAGGAGGAGATCAGGGAGCCTGGCGTGGGCACTGAACCTTGCTGACTGCAAGGACTGTGCTGCCTGGGGTCCCACCATGGATGTCCTCACCCATCAATGACAACTTGCTTGTATTTCTCAAAGGGTGTTTCATCCCCACTGATAGTGCCCCATGTGAGCACCAGGCACTCAAAAGCACTGGGGAGGTTCCTTCAGCCAGAGCACAGTGTTTCCCAAAGCTCTGCCACCCCTGAGTCAGACCTGACCAGGGCTGCAAAAAGAAAAAAAAAAAAAAAAAAAGTGAAAATGTTTTGAGAGCTGCATGGAAATCACAGCCCTAAAGTCCCAGCACTCGTGTGACCACCCAGCCAATTGCATTCACTGTTTGCAATCTAATTCATATTTACTTAAAATATTTTAAGGTAAACACTCTATACCCATTAAATTAGCACTCCCACATTGGAATTATTATTTATTTAACTATTTATAGCTGCTCCTCCCTGCTGCGTGCCTCTGCCCAAATCCCACTGTGGGCACCATCCCATCCCTCTCCACCAGGTTCCCACAGGGTTCAAACCAGCTGGTGGACGTGGACGAGTGATCTGAAAGAGGAGCATGAGGCAGACAAGAGGGCAGGTGAGCTGGGACTCACGAGCTCCTCAGTTTAACCTGTAATCATCCCCTGGAGGCTGGGGCTGTCTGCGAGAAAAACTTCCCTTTGCTCTCCAGCCGGTTTCCCCTGTATCGGGCGAAGCTGGGCAATGAAAGCAGCAGTTCCTGCTGGAGAGCAGACAAAGAGTCTGCCTGATTTCCTAAGAGAGGAGGCTGCATGCCAGAATCTGCCCGGCCAGTCATATAATACCCAGCCTCAGTTGCGAAAGGCTTCTCACTTTTGTTTCTGGTGCTGGACTCGCTGCTTTGCAGACTGGTGTGAGGTATCAGGCGCCTTCTCATTCAAATTTCTGTGTCACTCAGAGAGATGAGCTCTGGACAAGGTCCTCTGCAGAGCCAGTGTGCCCAGGTGGGCTCTGGGTGCTAGACATTTGCATAAGGAACCCAAACTAAGTTTTGGGGTCTGCTCCTGGAAGTGCTGCGTGTTGTGGTGAGTAGCAGTGCCTTGCAAGGTGGCTCTTGAGCTCAATTGGCATCCTTGGCGTGCTATTGGGACCCATCTCCCCCGGCCTCCATGCCCCCAGAGCCTTCTCTTCACATCTCTGCAGAGGTAAGCATCACAAACCACATGAGGTGGACACGCAGCCATGGCTGAAGGACCAAAGGAGCCCTAAAACTGCAGCTATGCCTCATCACAGAGAGAGCCAGCTTGGTCCTCCTGAACAGCAGGAGATGCATGTGTATGGGGTGCAGGCCACCAGGAGCAAACCAAAAAGCGAACACAATGGGACTCAGCCCAAATATTTGAGTTTTATTATCTGCTTTCTGAGATCACCTGGCCTGCTGAGAAGCTGAAGTGCTTACTTGGTGTTTTCAGGGGTGCCCACACCATGAGGAGGACAGGAGAACCCGTCCCACCACCCCTTATCACTAAACCACGCAGGTTTAATTGTATTCTTCAGCAACTCTCCCCAGGAGATGGGGTGGGAGCAGCCCAACACACGCATTACCCTTTCCAGATGCAATGATACTTCTCCTGCAAGGCACAGTGCTAATTACTGTGTACGATATCGCTTGCAAAACTACACATAAGCAATGCTGGCCACTAACTACCCCTTAGCATGCAGCGTTTCATGACGCTTTGGTGATGACTCCAGCGTGAAAGCACAAGAAACCTGGAAAATATCCACGCAGAGCTGCTGGGAGAGGCTGGGATGAGACCCAGGGAAAGCCGGGCTGACCGCAGCCCACGCGCCGCTCTCCCCGACGGGCATCTCGGGTTCACGGGTCCAGTGGCAACAGGCACGGACACCCCGGCAGCCTCGGGGCTGAGGCTGCCCACAGGTATGCTTTTCACACACACCTGGGTCACCAGGAGGTGCCTCCCAGTATTCTCCCCTCCCAGGGACTGTGGAGCATGACCTCAGGGGAACCAGCGTGCTGCAGACGCATGGCCCAGGTGCAGCAATCGGCTCGCTGGTGTGGAGCAAGGCCAGGGGGAAAAGGGAGACACATTTCCTTCAGGGAGATCAGTTATTTGTGCCACTTGGAGCTTAAGCAGAGGGGACACACTGTACTGGAAGTGTGGGAGAGATGGTGCTTCCCAGTCCTGCTTTTAAGCAGAAAGTGTCTTGGGAAGAGCCATGATGGACTTGGTCCTCTGACAGATGGATCTGCTCCAGCTCTGTGGTCA